GGCATATAGATTAATGTGTTAATGTGTCCGGACAATGGCAGGCCCGCAAACCAGGTGATTCAGATTCACATAAATGCACTGTGAATTGCCACACAATGGTAATTCGGAATTCTCATGGTGGTGATAAATACGTTATAACGCATTTGGATTTATAGAGCATCTAAATGCAACCGCAGCTCCAGATGCTTCACAAATAAAATATAACGTGCATTACGGAGACCACAGGAGAAGGAGATTCATATGCTTTTGTATCTAAGGTGTGAATGTCGGTGTTTCATAGTCATTGGTAAAAGGACAAGAGGAATTTATTGAGCTTGGATGTGAACAGGGGCAGAGTTGACAGTTCATGTACAAAAAAGCGTTTCAAAGTAGTTATCATTTTATAAATCATGGAAGGATGATTGGTTCAGCCTCCTCCCATAACAAGTAATTGAACTCACGTGCTTACGATTGCGAGTCGGTCTGCCTTGCACAATCCAGGCTTGTGCCGTTCTGTAGGAGGGCACTTCAGATTCCCGTGTGTAAATGATCAACCCGAGGCACTCGCCGCCATGAACATAAATTCAAGCCAGGGCCCTCCATGGGAGAGGTTCCGCTGACGATGAGCAAGTGAAACCGCATGTGCAGATGTGGCAGCAGCAGGAGGCAAACATGGCTAAGCTCACAGCACCCGAGAGTACACGTCAAATAGCACGCACGTGTGTGTGTGTTTGTACACGTGGGGGAGCGACAGCGTAGTGGTTAGCGTATTGTGCTACGAATCTGGGGAGCTGATTTCGGTTCCCGTTTGTTGTCACCATAAGTAGCAAATGTGAAATATCTCAATCAGTCCTGGGCCCTTCCGAAGGTCGACTCAGTCCCAAATGAGTACCTCGTGCGGTGTGTAAACATCAGCAACTGGGAAAACAAAGGCGGTCAAGTGTGGGGGTTTCCACACTACCCCATTCCTGTATTGTGCCGGCATTCATTGGTGCTCACTGATAGCACTTGCCCCAACGGCCTGAAAAGACTATGCAGGGTGTCTTTGTGCGCACATGTACGTGTTACGTGTTAGGTGCGTTCAGCGAGGACTTCCGTTGGAGCAGGAGTTGAAAAGTTAGGAATGGCATCGCGATGCAATTCAGTGAGACATATGTTTGTTTATTTCACCTCTATGAATCTTTATTATCATTATCATGATCGTTATTGTCACTGTCAACGGGGTTACTGGGATGCCATTCGTGACGAGCACCATCATCCACCCTGGTCGCTAAACTTGAGAAACCGCCACTCTGCTATGGGTCTTGGTCACCCGCCCTCCTCCACTCTGCGCACAGCTACAATTGTTTACTTTACAAATTGTGTTCTGAACTTCCAAGTTGCTTGCCCCTATCTCCATGTGTGCACTTACACTAAAGTACCAGAAGCTTATATTGGTGTTATTTCGTAAAAATGTCAACTGTCTGATCATGACAGGAGTATAGACATCATTAAGCACGGAAGGACTGGTATATTTACTACATAAGGCCAGGCCTTCGAGAGGGATTTCCAAATGTATAAAAGTATACGTGACATAAATAAATTTGGAATTGCTACTTGTTGGCCCGTGTAGTTGAATTGAGCATGATTTATATTTTATTCACACAGGGTCCGAGAAACTTTTCTTCCAATACATCTTTAGCATGATAAAATAAGTCCGTAAATTACAATGCAGAACGCTTCAGCCAATGTGCTGCTTCCTGTCCATAGCTGTGACTCTGCGTGCATCACCGTTATTGTAATGCTGCCAGCAAATGGCAGGGTACTGCCCATGCATCTTGATACTGCTTAAAGGCAAATACATCTTAAAAATACTTAAAATGTTCTGTACCACACACAAACAGATTTAAATTTTCCCACCTGAAATACTTGAAATACAAAATGCAATACTCAGAAACTAAAGTTTATATTTAATTTTATCTGGTGTGAAATATGAGCCACATGTTACTTAAAAGGTGCATGTCAATGAAGGTAAATTAGGTGTTTCATTGCATTTGATATGGCATTGTATAAACAATTATTTTAGCCCCACATAGTGCATACTGGTTTTTTGCATTGAACGTCATGATAACGAACTGGCATTATTTATGAAGCTGAACGCTGCTGACGAGACTGAGTGATGTCAAAACCTACTGACAAGTTGCCTTGTTTCTGCAAACGATACCAAGAAACATTAATCTGGGAGGAGGCAAGCCCGGGAACTGATTCATCAAATGTTATTCATCATAAATTATTTTAACAAAATCCATCAATCATGTACACGTTATTATCGTTTATTTAATTTAGTACTCCTAATGAAACATTTTATCTGGCAGATTAAAATGTCCCATACCATTAAATGTATTTATAATTAGCTGAGCCTTTACAAGCCGATGTGTCATTCGTGGGCACAGGGTTTTAGCATGCTTGGAGTTATATCCTGCATTCATGTTGAGCAACGATGTCTCCATCAGTGCGTATATTCTCCCTGCCACTCGCTGCTGCGCTAAAGACAATCCAGTCTTGCTAGCACTTCGTCGCATCTTTAACCCAGTCAGTTATCAAGTGTGATAAGGCCCCAGCGGTAGTGTGTTGTCAACTTGTTGCAGAGGTTCACCGTTAGAATCCAGTGACCAACCTGGTTAATACTGGAGATGTATTTATCATAAAAAATATCTATTCGCCGTCTGCTTCAAGGTTAAATATCCCATGACATAATTCGCAAGTTTAGGCAACTGTGTGCTGGCTTCATTTTCCAAATTTGAATGAATACTTGCAAATTACTGAATTGGAATATAAACTACTTATATTTTACAAGGTAAGGCCCACTGAGATATACAGCTTCCTTTTTAAAAGCAAACTGGCCACAAATGATAGCTCTACAAAGTGGCTTACTATGTGGAAATTTATAGCAGCCAAATACTCTAACTGCATGTTTCTAAATGTGGAGGGACAAACCGGAGGACCCGGAGAAAAATCCACGCGACCACGGGGAGAGAGACACACAAACTCCAAATATACAGGCGAGGTAGTTAACAACTCTCCACTGCGGTACCCATCTCCCCTAACTGCGAAATGTGGCAGGACCCACCTGAAAAAGAGTCTTGAGACTCAGCGAGGCTTTCCTGGGTAAACATGCTTAATGTAAAAAATAATACACTTTATGGTCTTCACCCATTTAGCGATGACTCTACAAGAACATCATCACAAACATTTGGATTTTCATAAAATATATGGCCTAGCCCAGCTCTGAGGGCTGGGATATTGTAAGCATATCAAATAAGTGGCAAACATTCTACCAAACATGGAAGGTGCATCATCAAGTTTTGGATCCGTGACACCTCCATGAGGAGTGAGTTGTGCAAAGTCGTCTTCTGGTGCTGTCCCCTGACATGATGTGATGTCCTGCTAACTGAACACCTCAGAAGGATGTCCTGCTAACTGAAAACCTCAGAAGGATGTCCTGCTAACTGAACACCTCAGAAGGATGTCCTGCTAACTGAACACCTCAGAAGGATGTCCTGCTAACTGAAAACCTCAGAAGGATGTCCTGCTAACTGAACACCTCAGAAGGATGTCCTGCTAACTGAAAACCTCAGAAGGATGTCCTGCTAACTGAACACCTCAGAAGGATGTTCTGCTAACTGAACACCTCAGAAGGATGTCCTGCTAACTGAACACCTCAGAAGGATGTCCTGCTAACTGAAAACCTCAGAAGGATGTCCTGCTAACTGAACACCTCAGAAGGATGTCCTGCTAACTGAAAACCTCAGAAGGATGTCCTGCTAACTGAACACCTCAGAAGGATGTCCTGCTAACTGAAAACCTCTGAAGGATGTCCTGCTAACTGAACACCTCAGAAGGATGTCCTGCTAACTGAACACCTCAGAAGGATGTCCTGCTAACTGAACACCTCAGAAGGATGTCCTGCTAACTGAACACCTCAGAAGGATGTCCTGCTAACTGAAAACCTCAGAAGGATCTCCTGCTAACTGAACACCTCAGAAGGATGTCCTGCTAACTGAAAACCTCAGAAGGATGTTGTTACTCTGATAAGATAATTGGCACATAGCAGGCGATTGTAAGGAATCTAATAACAAATGAAACGTTATTAAAGCATTTCCAACACTTGCTTGCCGGTGTATACATTAGCAAGGCAGCAGACTGGGTTGTAGTAATATCTATAGGAACTTTTTCCCAGTACCAAAATATGAAAAATAATAATAATAGGTTTTACCCTTTCTGGAAAAAAAATAGGTGTTAAGCTATTATTTTATATTTTTATTATTTTATTGTTTCCCTTCTACGTGACTTTACCGAAATAACCAATAATATAGGTGTTAAGCTGTTCAAACACCAATTAGATACATTTTGCAAAGAATCAAGTGCAGATGTTTACACTCGTCACCAGGTTTAAGGCTGATTTAATGTCAGGATGGCCCTAAGCCCATCAGGTGACATGGTGGCGAGATGTTAAATATCTCGCGTGGTATGCAGGAGGTCAGGGGTTTGATACAGAACCTGATGCCTGTATATTTGGAGTTTTCATGTTCTCCCCGTGGTCGCGTGGATTTTTTTTATCCGGGTCTTTCAAGTTTTTCCCTTCCATATTTAGAATCAACATGTGTTTAGATTATTTCGATTATTTTGCTGCTATAAATTTCCATGTGATAAGCCCCTTGTTGACCAATCATTTGTGGCCAGGTGGACTCTGAAAAATAAACTAATAGCTCAGTGGGCTTTACCTGGTAAGATAAGAAAAATAGTTTAGTTAATTTGTATATTTTTTTAATTTGATCTGTTTACCTTTCCTATACTCTGCACTCCTATCGTGCTTTTGTATTGTTTGTTATTTGTAACGGTCTGACCCGCCCCCTACTGGACATCTGTGAAAAAAAAAGAGCTTTACATCTCATCGGATTCGTTCAGTCGAAATAAATATTCTGATTGTGACCGTCACGCCCCTCGTATTCTGCTGTGCTTTGCTGTGCGCCGCTGCGCAGTGCTGCGACTTGGGCTACCACGCGAGCCTGAACCGCGCGCTGCGTACGTACCTCTCCGCTGAGTACAACCTGGAGAGTTCACGCCACGAGGGCCTCGACGTCATTGAGAACGCCGTGGACGGCCTCGACCCGCGCAGCGACAAGCTGCGCTTCCTCGAGACCTACCACACCTTCTTCTGCCCGCCCACTAAGTTCGAGTTTCAGCCACACATGGGGGACGAGGTAATTCATCATCGTGCAGCATCTTCAACCCCAGTATAACCCCCCCGCCCCCACCGCCTCTCACCGAGTCACAAGACTGTGTTTGTTTTTTTCTCTGTGCAGGAGGTTTTTTTGCCAAGTGTATTGCGTTTAGGGGGCAGTGTTACTACGTGCCATCCCGATTTAGCAATCGGTAGGCAATTATTCATGATTGGAATGTTCCGCCAATGCCTGTTACATTATGTTTTTATTTGTATTAATCTTTCGGAGGAAAGCGGAGCACGTGGAGGAAACCCATGCAGAACAGGGGGAGAAGATACAAAGTCCACACACAAAAACGCCTGAGTCTGGAATCGATCCCAGGCCCTTGGTGTGAGGCACAAATACCTTGCCGCTGGTGATCTATATATGTAAAAGGGAAATTTGTGAATATGTGTGTCTGTTCGAAATGTTTAGCATACTTCCCAACATGCAACAAACTTGAAATTTGTCATGTGGGTAGCTTCCAGACTATGCACAATTCAAAAAGTAAAAAAATAGACTTTTATATTTTGGCGGGGGGGGGGCGCAATAATGGATATATTTTGCACGGCAAGTGAGCGGTGACGTCACATCTGTGATGTCACCCGCATGCGGCAGCGTCACGCAGTGTGCCTGCTGACGTCACGCATCCCCCCCCCCACCCTCCGCGTAGGCCATGTATCCCGCACAAATGCGCGGCACAGCCGTCTCGTCAACGCGACTATCTTCAGCTCGCTCTTAAATATAAAGCAGAAAATCCATCTGTTTGTGTGAAGCAGCAAACAACTCTCGAACGCTGAGCTCTGACGTCATGAAATTTGCACAGCTTTATGCTGTCTGGAATTTCTAAAGGAACGCGACTATTTTCAGCTCGCCACGTCATCCCCTTCCCGAGTTGCCTAAATCGACCTCACGTATAAGTGGGTTAAGGTTGAATTTCCTTCGGTGAAAAACATCCGATTTAGTGAAATTGATTTGTTTTGGCTTTTTTTATTTCTTGCAAGTATACATTTGTTTTCAGGGTTTTTCAGTGAAATATAAGGGAATATGAAATTAATCAAAGACAAGAATCCACGGTCCCGGGCAAAGCCGGGTCATAAAGCTAGTCTATTAATATATAAAAGCACATATTAACTGAACTATGACCACATCTACAGAAATGTTGTAAAAAATGAGAGAATTTAGAGAAATTTGGCAAAAATTCGTATTTACCGGACCTAGCTCTTGGTGGCTTTCACATGTTTCCACATTTAAACAAAATTACTTGCAGGGAGAGATTTTTCGTAACAGTACGTGATCTGTGCTGTGGCTAAAGTGATTTGCAGAACAATACAAATACTTATTTGGGCCAGGTCTTAAAGCCTTGCTTCATCAAGGTCTCATTATTGCATTGTATGTTAGGCCATGGGTTTTCCGATAGCATAGACAGCTTAAATCCTCAGGTTGTGTGTCAACTCGGATTGCTGCCAACAGAAAAAAACTGAAAACATTCTGCCAATCACACCCTCTTCTTCGCTGCACATAGACAGGCCAGAGAGGTAGACTCAACCAAAGTACTGTTTATTTTTAAGGCAGTGTTCTAAACGAATGTTTTGGTATTCTTTTTATATGTGTTATTTGTGTTTGTGCACCACTGCCTACAGGGTTAGTAAAAAGAGTATCTTTCGATTTAAAGCTTTCGTGACTGCAAGGATTCATCTTCTTTGGTTCTTTCGGTAAAGTCACGTAGAATGAGAATAAAATAATAAATTGATAAAATAAAATAACACAATATTCTCACGACGTTTCGGCCACAACACAAGCGGCCTTCATCAGGTGAAGGGACGAGACTGTCTGGTAGGACAGCGCTGGAGTGAAAAAAGCCACGTTCAGATCACGACCTTTAAGCTTTGTCAAAGTTGAGGGTGCTTTGTTTCTTCTGACACAGCTTAAAGGTCGTGATCTGAACGTGGCTTTTTTCACTCCAGCGCTGTCCTACCAGACAGTCTCGCCCCCTTCACCTTATGAAGGCCGCTTGTGTTGTGGCCGAAACGTCGTGAGAATATTATTGTGTTATTTTATTTTATCAATTTATAATTTTATTCTCATTCTACGTGACTTTACCGAAAGAACCAAAGAAGAAAAAGAGTTTCGCTTTGTGGGAGGTGAAAAGCTCCTGTCACATTGAAAAACTGACCCTCACCGGATGAAATGGAAAAAAAAGGCAAAAAAAATCTCAAATTTTCAACTTTATTTGAAATGTCATTTGCATCTTAAATAGCAGGATCCACGCAACACCGTGTCATGTTGTAACATAGGAAGCCAGCACATCTGTTGGCACGAATTCAACATCCCGTGCATGCATTCCCTGCAATTAAAACCGCCGTTTGTTTTGCCAAGTGCAATTAGATGATTGTGTTGAGTGTACTGATTGAAACATCTCCACATGGCCACGCTGGGAGAGATCGCTGTAATTAATTCCTCAACAATTGACACAGACCCCCAAGACCCAAAACATAAAAAACACGCGAGAAAATAAAAAAAAATAACGTGTGTTCTGTGCGTTCTCCATTAGCAGAGTATATGTTATCGTTGTAAAATATCTGTTCAGGATGTGGACCTTGTGGTCACGTGTTTCTCGATAGGTTTGCCTCTAGCTGGCATCGCATTCAGTCCGAGGGGTGTCTTGCAAAAATTATGGATTTGGCTGTTAATTTTTTTGGACCTGTCAGCTTTGCCATATGGTAATTGTTATACTTTTCCTCTTTAGCGATTGACCTTACTGAACGGTATCGTATGCTTGCCTTTCATGGCCTGTTGCGATATCCTGTGCATGCGAGAGTGTGTGTGTGTGTGTGTATACAACCCGAGATCGATTCCCACTCACGGCGAACACCAGTGACGTTTAGCTTCAGGCTGTACGGGGGATCTTTGTCTTTGTACGTGTAAAACCACGCACATAGCCTGCCACATGCGCCATGGTGATGTCACTGCCACTTTATGGCGAATGCCGGTTATTATGTACGGAGCTGTGGTTTAGTGGTTGGGATATTGTGATATTATTCCAAGCGAACCGGACTCAATTCCCAGCCATGAACGTCAATGGTCAGTGTTTACTGAATGTTATTGGCCTTCCATGGATTGGCTCAGCCTTAAATGAGTGCCTGGTGCAGTGTGCCATGCTTATCTCATGTGCTCACAGTCTGAGGATAAACAGGGGCATCTCTACCTCATTAATGCAGTTGTAGGGAGCAGCTCCCTCGGAGTTATTATTTTGGAAATCCAGCTTTGATTACTGGCCATGTATATCACCAGTGGCAACTGGCATGTGAACCTTTCGTGTGCCTCCCCTAAGTAAACTGAATGTGACCCTGAAAACAATGACAGTATGCTCCAACCGTAAAATGTTGACCTGCCATGTACAAAATAATAATAATGATGGTAATATTTAGTTTTATGTAGCATCGTTCATCCAAGTAGCTTTTCACAATCTCTGAGGAGCTGGAGACATGCTGGAAGGCAGCCTGTTGGTGAGGTGGCATCAACAATCATGTGTGGCCAAGGTCGCTTCTGAAAAGGAAACTCGTAGCTCAGTGGGCTTTACCTGGTAAAATATAAATAGGATTTTTTTCGTGATTTTCTTACCATTCCGGTACTTTGCACTCCCGTGTTTTTTTTGTAATGACCCGCCCCTTTTGTAATGACCCGCCCCTTTTGTAATGACCCGCCCCTTTTGTAATGACCCGCCCCTTTTGTAATGACCCGCCCCTTTTGTAATGACCCGCCCCTTTTGTAATGTCCTGCCCCTACTGGACAACTGTGAAAAAGAGCTCATCGGATTAATAAAGATCCTGACCATGATGTTTTTAGCCACACATACATATATACATACAAGCGAATTCAAAATGTTCAACTTGTTCCGCCCTCCATAATGATGAGCACCTTGCTTGTAGTGCTACAAGCTGTGGCTGTTTACATTGAATTGTTTCAATGGATACAGGCGATTTCCAGGCGTTCGGAGATTCATATTCGCATGCACTATCACGTCCTGTAGTCGTTGCCACGCGGTTAAGAGAATTCTGGCCTCCAGATGAGTAGTAAAAGTTACCCCTCTTCATATAACAAAAAATAAGCCGCTATACAATGCCACATGTCCATACGTGCCCTTTTTACCAATAGGGTCTTAACTCAAGGTCCATCAAGCACACTAATTCAGGTCATTATGCTTGAGTTCTGACTCTAGGTCTGTCATCACCCACTCAATTCTGGGCCCTGTTGGTCCTTAAGCGCATATGCTTATCATATATCGTGGTGGCAGATGTGGTCCTGACAGGCAGGTTCCGTTTCTAAGGGCCTTGGTACAACTTATGGCCTTAATTATGGTTTCGCTATGCTAAATCTTCAAAACTACTGATGTAGGGCTTGAGTCTTTGGTAAGTTTGGTGAGCTGATGCATGTGATGCGTTAAAGGTCGCTGTGTTTTCCCTGCTCGAACTAGTTCTGCGTACTCCATGAGCAGCCCTAAAGCACTTCCGTGTGGCAAATAGGTGCTTGATAGCTATGATTGTAAGTGATTCTGTGATGCATTTTTTACTGTTAATCCAGCTCATAGGCGCTGTGGTTAGAACACTTGACTCATAATCAGAAGTTTTTGATTACCATTTCGGAGTCGAATCATTCCGTATAATTTGTGCCTTTTGGTTGAGAGTTAAAAGTGGTTGTTCTCATTTCCACCACTGCCTCACTGCAGCCACAGGGAGTGAGTGGTCCCGTATTCAACTTTGGAGGAGGAAGAAGACGCTTGGCCTTGACTTTGATTGCTGCACTGTTATGGTTTACAAGGATGTTTTTGGGTTGATATTCATAGGTCAACCTAGAGAACAATACACAGGTTAAAGACCTGTGTTAATGTTCAAAAACGTATCTATGTTGAACTTCTTTTGCACCGTACGTAGCCAACCCTGCTAATCAGAGGTGCTGGGGGAGGACAACAAACTAAACACAAAAAACAGTTCTAAATA